TGGGGGGGAGTTGTGACCCAATAAACTGTGTTGACATATTTTGTTCTCAAGTTGCAAGGAAAGTAATTTTTCTCACATAATGACATCTTTTACTTATTTTTGGAGACAGTTTATGGTTATAAAAGCAAATAATCACAATAGAATATATAGACAATTATAAAATAAAGGTCGCTTATCTAATTCTACCACTCAAACATAACCACGTTGAGCATTTTGGCCTATATCCTTCTGAACTTTTTATGGCTTGTAGGTCTGTGTGTGTGAGTGTATGTTGATCTTAATTTCTCATCTGATTTTTTTTAAGCAAAAAATGAAAAACATTTTTGTAATGATTTATAACTTAATCAGGAATTTCTTTATGAAATTATGCAAGTGATTATTTCCATATCTTCTGTACTGATGAGAATGGTTCATGGTCCTACTGTGTATGATTGCCTATTGCACTTCGATATCTGACCACATTCTAAACTATAACAAAATCACAGGAGTTGCAGAAGTCAGAAGAAAGTGATTGCTTGCTGGGGCCTCTCCAGCTGTGTGTCTTGGGAATGGTGTGGTCAGTGTCTCAGGCCAGCTAAGAGGGGTTCTGTTTTAAACCAGCTCACTCCCTTAAAAGCCAGTTAACTTCTACAACTGTTTTCTCAGAAACATGCCATTTCTCTCAGCCTCCTCCTGGTTCAGGTGGGAGAAGGGTCGGGAGTGTTCATTCAAGAGCTGAGGGTCTTAGTCTGCCTCTGATACAAACTAGGGCGAAACTTTCAGGGCCTATGGAAGGCAGTGCTTGTTGCTGAACATCCTGGAGATATTTTGAAAGTCTGGTGATTGATTTAACATGAAATGGTTCCTTGTTAAAGGGCACTGAGATGCACAGACTGCTAGACAAAGGAAACTGAAGGTCTATCATTCTTTCATTCATTTGCTGGTCATTGAGTGTTTGTGTGGAGTTGACTCTGCTCTATGCTCTCATTGTTGCTCAGATTTCCTTCAGAGCACTTTTCACAGGTCATAATTACATTTTCCTTTTTATGATGATCTGTTACACTGGAAAGCTCTGTACATATCTGTTCCACTAACAGATGCACGACATCTGTTAGACCAGAGTCTGACAAGTACTAAGTACTTGGCCCAAGTACTAATCTGTGGAGTAAATTAGTAAATTACTCCAAGTACTAATTAGGCCCAAGTACTAATCTGTGGAGTAAATTAGTAAATCATTTCCTCTGCTGTGAAGATGGCAGCGGTTAGTCTGCCGGACTCCGTTCTCAAGAGGAGCACAGGCCAGGAAGGGAGAGTAGATTAGGTGCCGTTCATGTTTGCATTAAGTGGACTTACCTTCAGGCAGGTTCAGAAAGAGTACTTTGGGAATTCTGGGGAAGGAGATGTTAGGCTGTGGCCGGGAAGCTGGGGAGACCTCAAAGATGAGATACCTCAATTGGCGATGAGTCCAGACAGGAGTTTGTCCTGAGCCATGTGAGGACAGGCATGGTCCATGGCAGGGTCTGCAGGAAGTTTCTTCTGTGGTGTGCTGTATACGACCAGGGACTAGAAAGAGAGGGGTCTCAAATGGGTGTTTTGTTTGTTTGTTCCTCTCAAATTATAAAGAGCCTTGAATGCCTGGCCACAAAATCTAAACTTTCGCAAGTAATAAGTTGACAGCTCATGATATTTGGGCAAGCAGGTGACTTGGAGATGTGCTGTGGGATGTTATATAACGAGCTTGTTACTGTCAGTGGGCAGACAGGTTAGGAGGTAGTAAGGGCCATGGTGAAGGTCACGTCCATGAGCTGGGGAAGAGGGGCAGGTGCAGGAGGGATTTGGGGAGAGGCAGGTTGGATGTGGGGTTGAGGTGGTCAGAGAAGGGGCCATCAGAGTGAGGTTTGTGTTTCTGGCTGAACCATTTATTGAGTCTGGGAGTTTGAGGAAAGGGGTTTGGAAGAAATGATCATGAAAGACTGAGTCTGAAGTACTTGTCTCTCTCCATGATGGGGTTAAATACAATCTGAAAGCTCAGGGTAGAGGTCTGGGCTGGGGAGAAAAGCCTGGGAGTTGTTGGTTTATCTGAGATGAGTAAAGTCAAGGGTGGGATGAGGTTCCACAAAATGTCCCAGTTATCTACTGCTGTGTAACAAACCACACCAAAATGTGGCTATTTAAAGCCAGTCATTCAGTTTGATCAGGATCTGCAGGACTTTGGGTAGAGCTCATTGAGAATGGCTGGCTGTTCAGTGCAGCGTCTGCAGGGGTGGCTTGCTGGGCACTCTGCCCAATCCAGGATGGTGCACATAACATGACAGTTGCAGCCAGCTGTCGACTGGAACCTCAGCTGGGGCTCTTCATGTGACTGCTTGGGCTTCTGCCTAGCATGGTCGCTGGGTTTCAAGCATGAACATCTTGAGGGATGGGAAGTGGAAGCTGTCAGTTTCTCAAGATCTGGGCCCAGAACCGGTCTGGTGCAGTGTCTCTTCCACTGTGTTCTACTGGTCCAGCAGTCAGAGTGAAGGGGAGGAGATGGAACTCGAACTCTCAATGGAAGGAATGCCAAAGAAATTTAGGGCTCATTATATCTGGCTCCTGGGAGGGGCTTAAAAATATCTGTTGAACGAATGAGCAAATGAATGGTGTGAGGAAAGATACAGTGAGAGGAATATCTGGGGCCTGAGGGAAACAGTTATTGGAGATGTTTGGCTGGAATTGGTGAGGCCTGGGGAGGTTGCTAGGATCTAGACTTGTGAGGGCTGTGAACATGAGGCTAAAGGGATGGGACTTGAGCATGGGATAGACAGGGGGACCAGCTTGTTGCCCAGGAGGGCCATGGTTTAGGAAACAGGAGAAGAGGTGAGGCCTACACCAGGGCCTGGTCTAGGTGAGGTCCTCGGGTCCGTAGGTGAGTATGCATCTGACCCTCAGCTTTGGGCTTCTGCTGGCTAGGGCCACGATCCCTGCTCCAGCCTGCGCTCAGGCCTGGATATTCTGTCCCTGGCACCTGTGGAATGAGCCAACAGCGGACAGAGCCAACAATAATAGAGTTCCTGGAAGTCAGAGGTGGCACCCCAGACCCTTCTCCTGGGCCGGGTTGGTCTTACCTTTGCAGCAAATGAGAATAGAGTCCTTTAGAAGCATGTTTATAAACCTCCTGGGCCCTTGAGAGAACAGGGCTGTGATTCCTTTGAACACAGCTTCTTTGTGTGGCCATGATTCCCTGGACATCAAAGTCGAGGTGACCACAGGTATGTCTTCTTTGTTGGGGACCTGCAGACCGTCAGAGGGCTGTAGCCCCAGCCTGAGGAGTGGTTCCTTCATGGTGAGATTTCTCTAGGCCCTTATCTGCCAAGAGTAGCGGCTGCCCAGGGCACGTGTGCAGAGGTGGGCAGGCCTCTGCATGGCTCTTGCCAAGGCCAGGCCTCACGTGGCTTCATCTCTGGGTCCAGCCAAAGCCAGCGTGGGCCAGAGGGCTGGATGCTGTCAAGGTCGTGTCGAGGGACAGTGAGCCTTCTTGTGGCAGGCTAGCTGAGGGAGGTCCCAGCTGACGTAGCAGCCCTCTGAAGAAAACCTTATCTGCAGAGATCAGATGGACACAGCAGGAGCTGGCTTAGGCCCCGAATGACGCTCTAAGTCACACTGGCCTTTTCTCTTCACTTGTTTGCTCTGGCCCTCGGCTGAGGGGCAGTTGGGGAGCCCTCCACAGGCGCGGGGCACCTGACCACTCTACCTGTGCAGACGTCTTAGGAGACACATCCTGGTGAGGGCGAGGGGGACAGAGGACGGAGAGCTTCCCGGACCTGGACGTCTTGCTCCTGGGACTGCACTCGTCAGCCTAACCATGGTGGTCACCCAGCTGAATCTGCAGCTTCGCTTTCAGGGCAAGAAGCTGCGAGGCTTCAGCTGTGAGCTTACTCGGTCCCCCCACGGGGTCTTCCTTGAGACCAGCTTTACCGTCACGTGCCAGATTGTGGTGCCCCTTCTGCTCTCAGGCCTGGGCATGATGACTGCCGGCCTGGTGATGAACACCATCCAAGTGCGTACTGGGCATCTGAGGGGCAGTGTGGGGCCTGGGGTTTGGGGAACCGGGGTTCCCAGGCATCACAGATAGGACAGGCTGGGGGATGCAAGAAGCCGCTAAGTGGGGGTCCTGATCTCAGTGGTGCTGGCAGATGGGTCCTCTGGAGACCTCCATGTCTGAGATTTACAGAAGCTCCTGATGACCCTCTCTAAAGGTCAGCCTACATGAGCCATGTTAGCCCCGGGAGCTCAAACCCTTTTCCTTCCAGGGAATGCAGACTCATTAGGCAGAGACTGAGGGGTCTGAATCTTGGCCCTGCCATTTGCTTACTATCTGAGAGAACTTGTTAGTGTCCCCCCACCTCAGTTTCCCCGTATGTAGATGGGGCTAATAAATGCACCCACTTCCTAGGACTATGAGGATGGATGACCAAGTGCACCTTGTGTTGTGGCCTGAGGGTGATGGGCACTACTCCCTCCAGCCCCCAGAATCTTCATGAGACTCTTCTGTGGGAAGACAAGGGACAGAGGTCGGGCTGGGGGTCCGGGCCAGCAAGGGGCTGTGGTGGTCTCCATCGGGTAGAGGCATTTGCTGGGAGGCTCTCAAGTGATCACACACTGGTGTTCGCTTCTCCTGGTCTGTTTATGCCCTTAGTTGGCTCAGGTAACGCTGTGTGAATCATTGAGGTTTTGCTCTGTCTGCTTAAACATTTCTTACACAGTTAGTGTGTTGTTTTAGAAAATGCACCTAAGTGGAGGAGGGTGGGTGCCCATAATCTCTCCAATATTGTGCTGTGTATCTATCAAGAACATATAAACACATAAATATATGGGGTCATACTACATAATGTACTTTTTAAACTGTAAAAATTAAATTTAGTTTTTTAATCCATGGGACATCCCAGATAGAATTCCTCCTTCCTCAGTACACAGCATCTCCCATCATTTCCTTGTGCACCTGTCTCTGAGTTGGAGAGGGCGGTCAACACTCACCCTGGTCCCTTGGTCTCTGAATGAGGCTCATGATGTCTCCTCGACAGCCTCTGCTTGCATACCTCAGTGGACAGGACACTCACCTGTCCTGGGGCCAGGGCAGTTTTTGCATACTGGCCAGCTTGCTGTTAGAAAACTTGTGTTCATCTGGGCCTGTGACCTAGATACCCATCTCTCCTGCCTTTGAGCTTCATTCTTGGAACTGCTCCAAGAGTTTGTCACCCCTGCCCTAAGACCCTCCTGCAGATACTGGGGGGAGAGCCTCTGCCCTGAGTCTCCTCTTTTTGACCTTCCACGGCTGCCTCAGGTGGAGCACGGCTTGGAGTCCCTTCACCCCATTGCGTGTCCCTCAGTTGCTGCAGCCTGATATTTGTCAGTCGGGAGAGCTTGGCAGGATCTGGAAGATTTGGTGGGATGTGGGGGAGAGAGGGAATGGGGGTTGTGCCTGACCATCAGCAGAGATAGCACACCAGGCCGGTCAGGAGGAAGTCTAACTGGAGGGAAGAACACCTTTCCAGGCTGTGTGTTAAGGCACCATCTGGGGAGCCAGCATGAAGCAAAAGGGGTGTCTTGGGAAGACCATCTGCAGATTCAGTCCTTCAGCCATTCCATTTTGGGAGGTCCAGCAGCTGAGAGAAAGAAAATAGCTCTGGAAGTCACTGCCCGTTCCCTCTCCCCACTTTGCAGACATGGTTCTGTGACTCCAGTGTGCCCTGAGGTTCAAGGGCACTGGAGCTTCCCTGGCCCCTGAGCCTCCACCACCACTTCCCTGCTCACCACCGCTCAGCAGTGCAGAAAGCAACCTTGGCAACACTACTCCAAAGGGAAGCCCCACGACATGAGATGGGGTCCTGTCTCTGGCTTCAACTGTCCCCGGGCTTAAGAGCCTACAGCAAGGATGACTTCCCGGCTTGGCAGGCACGCTTCGTGGTGCAGTCCTAGGACCAAGGGCACTAGTTGGCTTCTAACTTCGCCGCCTTTCAGTTTGGGGCCAGGGGCCTGTCTTTCTCTTTCTGTGGCCTGTGTTCAGTCTATGGTTGGGCCTGGGGATTGAGGCCCAGTAAGTGGCCAGAGTATCACTTTGGTTTTTTTCCAAGAACTTTTTCAGTTACACAGAAAGGTATAAATATTTCTCTTTTTAAAAAATAAGTATCAGAGCTGAGGTTAAGGCTTCTTTGTCCACAGCTCTCCTTCTCAGTTTGTTTCTGTATTATGAGGTCGTGCATGTCCTCCCACACCTTTTGGGGGTTTATGTACACACGTAAGAGTGAGTGGAGAGAGTAAGAGTGGTTTTCATTGTCGCTGGAGGGTATGTGCTTACTCTTCACTGAATCAGAGAGAAATCAGACAGGCTCCCTGCCTTTGAGCAGCTGTTAAGCCGAATGCAGAGCGGGATAGAGGAGTTCACGCATTCATTCGGTTCCTCCATTCATTCAGCACATTTGGTTGAGCTCTACCAGCCGCTTGTGGGCCCTGCGATGTAGCGGTGAGCCCCTGCCTCCCTGCGTTTGCAGTCCAGTGGGCGAGGCAGAGGCCCATCTGATCATCCCACAGCCCACTGCGACTGAGCGAGTGGAGGCAGCGGGCAGACATTTGCCTGTAAAGGAAGAGGGAATAATCCATTCTTTCTGGAGGAGTCAGAGAATCTGCAGAGTTAGCAGGACAGTTGGGCTTGGACCTTAGAGGATACTGTAGGCGTTTCCAGGGTGATGAGAGGAACAGTAAACATCCCAGGCAAAGGGACCGGTGTGTGCATAGATGTGGACAGGCGAGTGTGCGTCTGTGGAGTGAGGAGCAGGAGGTGCCACTGTCATGGTGCTGGGGTGCTGGGCAGGCAGTGAGGGACAGTGTCACCTGGTATCCGGGGTCATACCGTTTTCCTGCTGTAAACGTTTCCACATTTGTTGACTTTGTCCCTGAACGGACCCCTCGTGGCTGTATGATGCCTGATGTGTCCTGACATGACTTCTCAAGTCTCCTGGGCCATGACTGTGTCCCAGCCCACACCCAAGCGGCCACTTGCAGGAAGGATGGGATGCCTGCAGAAAGGCTTACCTTCTGGCTGTCACCTCCTTCAGGCCACTTGTTGACAGACGGTGGGGTGGCTGTGGAAGGCAACTCAAGCCTTGGAAAAGAGAGGGTGTGGACAGAAAGGGGAACTGAAGAAGGAAAGTCAGGATTGCGCCAGGAGGTCAGCAACGTCTGGTCTCCTGAGCTCTGGGTTTACTGTTGGCGGAAAGCAGACCGAATGGGCTGGGCTGGGCTGGGGTGAGTCGGGGGTGGGAAAGGATCGGTCAGGACCCGTGTGTGCCACAGGGCAGTCAGTGGTTTGGTGGCAGCCTGATCTTCCCCTCAGCTTGGTTCAGCCTGTCCTCGAATGGAGTTTCTCAGCTGTGGAACTGGCATCTTGAAAAAGGTTGCCCCTGCATTTTCTGGAGAAAGTGTTCGTTCTGGTCGAATCAGCCCACAGGCTGTCGCGTAACCTGAGGACTCTCTTGTCCAGAGTTGAAAGCCTGCGCCCATTTTAAATCAAGGGTTAATTAGACTTTGGTGAAATTTCTAACTTTATGGCTTTCCTACCTGGAAAAAGGAAATAAAATCCTTTAATTAAATTTTAAAAAATTAAAATGTTGGGAGGAAAAAGAACCCTCAGTGGAGGTCAAGGCGGAATGATCAGAGAGGTCAGCATAGGATGGGATGTGGAGCATAATACATGGGCGCCCCCGTGGAGAGCTCAGAGGGGTGCCTGTCGCGCAGGAGGAGCCTAGTACATGTTTGGGTGGGTGGGGGTGGGGGAGATGCCCTAGCACAGAGAGCGCAGCAGGAGGGAGGTTAGAGGGTCCAGTGGAGTTGCCCATTTGCAGGTCAGTGCTTCCTTTAAGGAGAGGAGCGTTGCTGCAGGGTGGCGGGGTTGTCAGAGGCGTGCACAGTATTTAAGTATGACAAGTGACAACAGGAACTCACTCAAAATTTAGTGATGCTGAGGGAGAGGGGGGAGGCTGAGAGGGGTTTGTTTTTACTTTTGGGTTGTGGGTACTTGGTGTTGCATGCAGGCAGGGAAAGAGCGCACACAGGAGCGTGCCAGCTTCAGAGCAGGCGGGTTGCTGGCTGGAGGCAGGAGCCCCAGCTGGGGAGCGGGCCTGTGCCTGTGGACTGAAGGGGGACCGCGCGGCTGGACGGAGTGTGGCAGCTGGTAGCACAGCTGCACGGCCGCTGCACCGCCCCCTGGAGACGGGCTGTGAGAATGGCACACCTCCTTGCCTGATGACATGGTTTTCTTCTGCACTTTCAGGAGAGGGCAGACTCAGACTCTGTCAGAGCACGTAAGGATTCTGAATTTCACAGCTTTGTAGATATGGTAAATTAGGGAGAAACCAAGGAGCGAAGAAACAGTTAACAGTGGGTCCCTAAAACAGCACAACAAGACATCTCACCAGGCCCAATCCCTTCACCTGCAGGCTGCTGAGATGTCTTCTTGTGCTGTTTTATGGATGACTCCCGAGGCCCCGGAGGTGAGTGGACCCACACACCTTCATACAGCTCTTGTCTCAGGGAATGAGGGTCCCCAGGTCCCTGTCTCCTAGCTGACAAAGTCAGGAGTTTCCAGCTCTAGCATTCTGAAACCAGGAGGAGCTTCTAGCATAGGGGTCACAGGTGTCAGTAGGGGCCAGGGGGCTCAAATAAGGCAGTAAGATCATTACACATCGACTGGGGAATAATCTAGTTGCATGTGAAACAGGTTGGAATAGTTTCCACTTCATAAAGAATATTTTTCTTTTCTAGTTTTCTTGAAACATGCATCCCTTTCATTCTTTTTATTTATTTTTTTAATTAAAAAATATATTTTTAAATTAAAAAAAAATATAAAAAGAATGTCCTGTCTGCACTCATAGTGTCCTCTAGGCACTCTTCCAGCTCTACCCATCCTCCCTGTCTTGCACTCACTGCTCTGTTGTCCGTGAGTTCTCACTCCTTTTTTTCCTCTCATTCCTTTTATTTTTAGTTTTTATTTTTTTATGTTTGATAGAGACCTGTATAGAGGCACATTCTGTTTTGACAAATCCAGAGCTGCCCCTCCCCTCCCCCCATGAGACTCCAGGGCAGCTTGCACTCGGCCTTGGTGCCTGGGAGCAGCAAGCAGGCCTGGGGCCGCCTGGGAGCCCCTGTCCCTGTCCCTGTCCCTGTCCCTGACAAAACAGTGCCACTCTTCAGCCCCGCTCTCCCAGTTCATGTGACTCTCCCAACTTTGAAACTGGTGACTCATTCCTATTTGTGCAAACACACTGTGCACACCTGACAAAACCTGTCCACAGGCTCGACCCAGCCTAGCCCCCAGTTTTCCCAGGTGCTGAGGACCAGAGAGAGACAGGGATTCTTTTGAGGCCACTATTGCTATTCACTGAATAGTATTAAGAAAATTTCACAGCTTTATCATTATTTGTATTTAGTTTAAAGCCATTTAAGAAACTATTTAGGCCCTGGCCAGTGTAGCTCAGTTGGTTGAGCAGCGTCCCATGCACCGAGAGATCCCAGGGTCGATTCCCAGTCAGGGCACATGCCCGGGTTGTGAGTTCGATCCCCAGTAGGGGGCATGCAGGAGGCAGCCGATCCATGTTTGTCTCCCATTGATGTTTCTGTCGCTCTCTCCCTCTCCCTTTCTCTCTCTCTCTAAAATCAATAAAAACACTTTTTTTTTTTTACAGAAACTATTTAGTGTTATTTTACAGGGAGTGAGAAGTAACTTGTGGATAGCTTTTCTCAAAAATGCCGTGAGAGATACCATTATGTGTATGGACTGAGCTTTTTATTCTGTCCCACCAGCACTGGCCCGTGTTCGTGGAGGTTAAAGACCTGTTGACGTTGGTGCCACCCTTAGTGGGCCTGAAGGGGAACCTGGAGATGACACTGGCGTCACGACTCTCCACAGCTGTAAGTGGACATCTGGACATCTGGGCCACCTACCCCTCAGGGAGGGACGTTGTCCGCACCAGCAGGTCTCCCTGAAGTAGCTTGTAGGTGGGTGGGTTGGACTCTCCACAAAGAAAAGTGTTGAGTTTTGTTATGTTACGACTCTCCACTTGGTCATTCCTCCCAGCCCGTCATCCTGTTTTTCCATAGCCACGCTGGGCTGCTGGTGTGCCCGGGCCGAGTCCCTGTGTGCCCTGAGTTTCTCCTTTAACCCAGTGTCAGGTAGGGCTCTGTGTCCCTGGGCCCAAGTCTGTGGGCTGCCCCTGCTCAGCCACCTGGACCCTGAGCCCATCTCCACACATTCACATTGAAACCATAATGAGCACCACAGGCTTGATGGAGGACTTCATAGAGGAGACAAGAGTATTAACTGCTGTTAATGATCTCTGTGAGGGGTTTTGCGCTCCAGAAGGGCTTCTTGAATGCCCCACAGCCAGAGTTGTTTTCCTGCGGGCGTCACTAACAGTTCCTAGCTTTGCCCCTCTTCTCACTTCTCCCAACTCTCCTGGAATTGAAATTCTTTTCCTCTCTCTGATGCCCATTTGATATCCAGTATGTGTAAAAGGCCTGTGGCCAGAGGAAGTGTAGAGTGTTCAAGAACTGAGAGAAGAGCGATGGAATTAGGAGGGCGAGGGGAGGGGGTTGCCTGGAGCGGGAAGCTGGAATGATTAGGTGAGGGGTGGTTGGCTGGACAACAGCCCTCAAAGATGTGTGGAAAAGGTTTTTGCAGATGTGATTAAATTAAGGAACTTGACGTGGAAGGCATCCTGGATTACCCCGGTGTGACCATAAGAGTACTTATAAAGGGAGGCAGAGGGAAGTTTCAGACAGAAGAGGAGAAGGCCCGTGAGAGACGCAGAGTCCCAGAGAGATGTTCTGCCACTTTGAAGATGGAAGAAGAGCCATGAGCTAAAAGATGTTGCTCTACCTAGTGGAAAAGGCAAAGCAACAGATTCTCCCCTAGAGCCTCCGGAGGGAGCAAGTCTCTACCGACACCTTGATTTTAGCCCCAGAAGTCTCATCTCAGACCCCTGGCCACCAGACTGTAAGAGGATAAATTTCTGTTGTTTTAAGCCTGTGTCAGGTTCCCTATTGCTGCTGTAACAAATTATTGCAAATGTAGTGGCTTAAAACAACAGCAGTTTACTCTCTTACAGTTGTATTTTAGATTTCCTTTTACTCTGTGTATCTGTGAATGCTGCCTTCTTCAGAGCAGGCTACCTCTGGTGGTTGGGGGAAGGATCAGAATGTGTTTGCCTGTAGGTATTTGCCAGTAACTGGCCTTACGGATCTGGGGCTCTGTGTCCCCCTACTGGCCACTCTAGACACTGCTCTGTCTTGTCTTACCCCAGCACACACTCTTACTGCTTCCAGTCCCACTGTTGGCACAAATCAGTCAGGCAAGGGAAGAGGCCAACCCTCCTTAAAGCTCCTGCTTTGCTTTTGAAGCCAAATACGCTTTCAGTTTTCCCGGGTTCCCTTCTGCTCCCATTGTCCCCAAGGCCACCTCTACTCTGTGCAGTAGGCCTTTCCTGCTTTCATTTTTAGCTATAGATTCTTCTCTTAACCCATCACGTCTGCCTTCCATTGCTCAGAGATTCCTCTTAATCTGCGTTAAGCTATAGATAACTCCTCTTGTTTTCCAGCACTCTTTTACATTAAAAACAAACAAAAGTTGTCTCCTCAATGCTAGATACTGGGTTGGAGACAAAGATATCAGTATGAACTCATGTTTATCTTAATATGTATGCAGATAAAAAAAATATGAATGGGTGTGCATACATGGGTTAGTATACATACATACATTTCCTAGCTCCATCCACTAAGAGGCCCTAGAAGCACTACCACCCCAGTAGCACTTAGCACCCCTAGTGCCTAGACCTTGTTTTCTGATACCATTCTCTAATAAAAGGAACTGATGTCCTTGGGAAAATGGCTCATTGTAGGACTGGGGCAGGGAAAATACAAGATGAACCTGGAATATTTGATAGTGCCAGAAAGTAAGGAATTGCTAGAATGGAGGTGGGGGCATGTCAGAAGGAAGCAGGACCTGACCTGAAAGAGCTCGCATTGCCCACAGCTGGAACAATTTTAGCAACAAAATAAGTAGTATTATCTTATGACCTCAAGAATAAAATAACTACCCGTGAGTCCATACATACCATAAAATAAGTGATCACATCAATAATTAAATGGGGGCGAAGGGACAGCTCTATCTTAGAGAAAAACTTAATAAATGTGGAAAGAAAGACAGGAATAAAAGTCACCTTTAGAATACAATAGTGATCATTGTTGTAGGCAAAGTCTGCTGATGAATTAGTGGGTGACACTTTAAGGAGAAATAGGATCTTTGCATAGCCTCAGAGCATCTCCCCAAAGTTTTTAGCATATGTCCTCAAATCTTTGATATGCTGTCCTCTAGGAGCTGAAATTCAGTTCCCCTCCCCTTGAGTGTGGACTGGACCTAATGACTCACTTCTAACTATAGAAAATGGGAAAGGAAAAATAGTTAAGTTTGCAGTAGAGCATCCTGGCAAATACTACCTTTCCCAGTGATCAAGGTTGACATCACCTATGATCAGCCATGTTGGTATCATGTACCCCCAGATAGCACAGAGAAGGGCATGTCAGTCTTCTCCCCCAAAACCCATAATCTCAGTTTAATCATGAGGAAACACCAGACAAAACCAAGTTGAAGGACATTCTACAAAATACCTGATCAGTGCTCGTCAAAAGGGTCAGGGTCATGAAAGACAACAAAAGGTGAGGAACTGTCACAGATTGAAGGAGACCAAAGAGACAGCAATGACTAAATTCAATGGGCAATCCTGATTTCTTTCCTGAAACAGAAAAAGGACATTAGTGGAGAAACTGGGGAAGTCTAAATACATTCTGTCATTTAGTCAGCAGTGCCATACCAGTGTTAATGTCTTAGTTAATGATCGCCCTGGGTTATGTAAGATTTTAACATCAGGAGAGACTGGGTGAAAGGCATACAGGAAACTCTGTGTTAACTTTGGCAGAGGGCACAGGCCAGGTTCACAGAGGCATCCTCCCCTGTGGTCTGTGGACAAACTTGGGAGTCAGCTGGCCCTGAAATTGTGGGTGACATGCACACCTGTGTGTGCATGTATACATGTGTGTGTATTTGCACCCTTGGGTATGGGAGAGATGGCTCATGACACCATCTGATTCTCAAAGGTACTCGTGTCTTTACCTCTCCACTCCCCAGTCACTCTTTCAAAAGCCAATTAGAATAATTTGTTCTGACGTCAGTGGAGTGGTATTTGCTGATTTCTCTTCTGAGAGACTGCCTTCTTTCCTGGAAGGATTGACTTGACTTTGGGCTTAGCTAGACTTACCTTGGCCCTTTTCTCTCCATGCTAGGCCAATACCGGACAAATCGATGACCCCCGGGAGCAGCACAGAGTCATCAACAGTAACCTGGCCCTCATTCAGGTGACTCTCCCCTTTGTCTGATTGATGGACCCCCTCCACCCTGTTGAATCTGCAGCCAGGCAGGTAGGAAGAGTGAAGGCTAAGCGAGCCCTTGTTCCTGTGCTCTGGACTGAGCTTTGGGGATGGGAGTTACTCAGCTGCATGCCCACTCTTGCAGTAGCTGGAGGCTTCTTGAAAGATTCGCCTGTGCTTGCTCACTTCTCTTTCTCATAGCCTGGGGTGCAAACTGCCTTCTCTTCCCACTCTCTAGCCAAAGTGTTCTTGCTAATGTTGCTGCCATTCCCCTGTGATTGCCTTGTTCATATGATCCTGCTAATTCTTCCAGGGGCACCTGCAGATTATTCCCACCTGGAAATTCCTCCTTGGCCCCACTCCTGCCTCTCTGCCTATTCCTTCTTAGCCTTTGCAAGACCCTCCCCTTTGTCTCTGAAATGCTGCATGCTCTTTTAAACTTTTACCTTCTCCTAGCAGACCCTAGTTGGGCTAAGTGCTTGTTCTGGGATTCTCAGAGTTAGGAAGCATGAGGCAGGAGGAGCCTGGGAAGAGATTTGCTTAGGGGCTCAGAGAAAGCTGGGGTTGGATCTAGACAGGAAGTAGCTCTGTCCAGAACCTCTTTGGCTTCTCTGGTTGGGGGCAGCCTGTTGCCCCACAAAGAACCTGGACTCTGAGATCAGACAAGCCTGGAGTTAAGGCCATCATATATTAACTGCTGGCATGGGCAGGGCACATAGACTCAATTACCCAAATCTCCCTGTTCATCAAATTAGGGGGATACTGACTTTACCTCTCACCTGGGTTCCAGAGGTACCTCTGTGGCTCTCTACTGGGAACCTCCATCTGCCTTTCCCAAAAGTATCCCTGAAACAGCATAGCCAGACCTGGCCTCGTCACCTTCCTCCTCACACTCACCTATTCTGAAGTCCCCAACTCAGTCTAGTTTGATGGTTGAAAGCTCACTCTGGGAGTCACCCATCTGGGGACCCTCAGGCAAGCCGCTTTGCCTTACCTTTAAGGGGGGTTGTTGTGAGCTGTGGATCATAGGAGAGGCATGGCATCAGGCTTGCACAGGACAGTTATGATAGCTATGTCTAGTGAGTAGTCTTACCATTTAATCAAGCTGGAAACTGAGTCACCATCAGCTTCACTACCCCTTACCCTTACATCCAGGTACTGAGTGTCCTATCGTTGAGCTTGCTGGAATCTAGCCCTGCCCCTCCTTGCCTTGGCCTCTTGGTCCCCTAGCCGACTGCAGACCTCTTCACTGTTTTAACTGCTTCAGGCTTCTCGATCTTCAACTCACCTCTGCATGGTTAGCTAAGTGACCTTTTCTAAATCCTAAAGCTGGTCAGGCTCTTCTTCCTTAAGCCCTTTTGTTGGTTCCCCTCGTCCAAGTGTGGGCCTGTCCAAAAAGCATTCATGGTCTGGTCCTACCTTCCCCACCAGCCTCATGTCTCGCATATGTGGTTATCTCTTCTTGGAATGCCCTTTCTCCTTTTGTTCACCTTTAAAGACTCTAGTCAGGTCTCAGTTCCAACCTGACACCAGGTACAGCTCTTTGGTGCCTTGCATGTGCTGCTGGGGCTGCCCCTGTTGCAGTTCTGTGTTTAGATGTCTGCCTTCTTCACCAGAGGTGACTTGCATGGGCCAGGACCACCCATGATATACTATAAGGCATATGGATAATTTACAGCCAAATTCAGCCTGTAGCTGAAGAGCTTCAGAGATTAAATTAGACACTCGTGATACTCCTAACAGTGGGCCTGGCAAGGGGTAGGTAATAAACACCTCAGCTATAAGTCACTGGTTTTACTTTTCTGTTTTACACCAAATCCTTTTTCGTATGTATGTACATTTCCACATGATTGATTCTTAACTAACAAACGTTTATTAAGTCCTGCTCTGGGCCAAGCAGTGGCTTGGCACATGGTCCTAATGATCACGTGGGTATAATTTTGTTCCCTCTATTTTTAAAAAGCTAAACATCAAAACCTAAATGATGAGACAAGTTTCACAATCAAACTTTTTAATAACTTCAGCATATTCCATCATGTAAGTACAACCAAGAGTGATGTTTAAAATTTTTAACAACTAGTAGGGCCTGGAAATTCCCTGGTAAGATTGAAGGGCAGCCGTCAAGAGCTGGCCCAGCAGGGCCAATGCAGACCTGCCTAACCTCGGCCCGGACCCACTTCATTTTGCCAGCGCCCTGTGGATGCACCTGCAGTTTGGAGGCTTCTGCTTGATAAATTATACTGCAATGAAAATGTTCTCTTTTGCACGAATTTCTTGAGAGAACTTCCCACAAGTCCACAAGGTATGAACGGTTTAAAGCTCCCCATTTTCCCCCAGAAAGACTACAAAATATTTGATTCCTTTGTATTAAACTGTAGCACTAGTATTGATATTTGAAGTATTGGTTTCTCCATAACCTCACCACCATTGAAAGTATTCTTCTAAACTGCTTTTTGCATTTACCATATACATATATCCATAGACAATGTGTGATATGACTTTCTGTGTTTTAAGCATAAAAAATATTATCCTGTAACCCTGGCTGGTGTGACTCAGTGTTTAGAGTGTTGGCCTGCACACCGAAGGGTTGAGGGTTTGATTCTCTGGTCAAGGGCACATACCGAGGTTGCAGGTTCGATCCCGAGCTCCATGTGGGACACAGCCAACCTGTGTGTCTCCCTCACGTCAATGTTACTCTCTCTCCTCCCTCCCTTCCACTTTCTCTAAAAATCAGTGGAAAAAATATCCTTGGGTGAAGATGAACAACAAAATGTTATACTGTACATATAATTCTGTAATTTGTACTTCTCTCTTAATGACTTAATGAATGAAAATCTCTTACAATGGCAAATAGTAAGCACTCGATAAAGAGCAGCTCTAAATATCACTATCCTTCCATGATTCTTTGTGTACATGTGCAGTTGTTTTCCTGGAAAGTGCTTGATCATAAGGTATGTGGGTAATTTACATCTAAATTTTCCTCCAAAATTCCTGTACCAATTTTATCACCGTCAATGTATGAAACCACTTTCCCATGATTTGTCAATATGCATTTTATATTATCAACCTTTCAAATTTTAATTTTACCTAGTCTGATGGGTACAAATAGTGCATCCCATCCATTCATAGATTCTTTCACCCATTTATTTGTTGAGCACAGATGAGGGCTGAGATCCAGCCTCTCTTCTCAGAGCTGAGGACCCCAGTAGAAAATAAGACAGCGCTTATCTTTTAATAGAGAAAGACCAGCAGTGGTTACAAATAAATAAGATGCCTTCAAGTTATGACTTCATTTAAAATTTTCGTGACTACTAGGGAGGTCGATCATATTTTTGCATGTTTCCTGGCCATTTGTATTTCCTGTGAATTCCCTGTCCACATCCCTTGTGTGTTTTTCTCTCAGGTAACCTTGTTGTTGTTGATTTATAAAATGGACTTCATTATTCCGGATACTAACCCATTATTATATATGTTGGAAATATTTTCTCCAAGTCTATCTCTGTCTTTGAATTTTGTGGTATCTTGTATCATATGGAAGTCATATTTGGACTTAAATAAAGTTTATCAATATTTTTCTTCATAGATTTTAAATGCTGTATCTTTAGTAGAAAGACTCCCTTAATCTGAAATCTGAAACATATTAGTCTATTTTTCTATTTCACACTTTAGATTTTTATCTTTAAGTGTGAATGGTATAAAATAGGAATTCATTTTATTTTTCCCAAACAGATACCCAATTTCTCTTACTCTATTTATTCAATAGTCACATACNCCAATTTCTCTTACCCTATTTATTCAATAGTCACATACTTTATACAGATTTGAAATGCCACTTTTATCATATTAAATTTTCATATATTCGTGATTCTATTCCCGGACTCCATTCTGTCCTTCTGACCTGTCTGTTTTCTGTCAGTACACCCTGCTTTAATTATTGTAGCTTTAAAATACACATTGGTAATGAATAGGCCAAAACTCTCTCTTGGTCTTCTTTCTCAAAATTGTTTCAGTTGTGTTCACACATCTACTTACCTCTGTGTGAGCACAACTGTGTGAGCAAAGCTTCTGCCTTTGTTTAATCCGCCTTCTTTAATGACACAACGTGTTTCCATTGAGACGTTTTGTATTACTGAGAGCAGATGCCAGCATTGGTACTCAGATCTGGAGCACCCCCTGGTCATGGCCTGAGTGGGCACAGCAGTGTGTCCCACCTGGATGAGATGGGAACTGCCGCTGGGGATGGGCGATGGTGCAGAGGGCAGGGCCCCAGCATGTGGGGCAAGTGCCAAGGGAGGGAAGGAAGGGAGAGAAAGGGGAAATGTGAGCAAAGGCCTCTGAACTGTAGCTGCAGATCAGGGAGTGTCTCCGTGAGGGGAGGTCCGTGGTCTGTGCTGATGGAGGTATAAACACTTGCCCAGAGCAGTGAGAGAGGGACTGTGACCCTGGTGGCCCTTGACCATGGGCCGAGTAGATGAAGAACTAGGTTCCGTGATGGAAGATGGCCCAGAACAAGAAGCAGAGGGCAGAGCAGGAGTTTCCAGGGCACTGGGGTGAAGGAGGGCGGTCGCCTTTGTTTCCCTGACCTCTCCAGGTCAGAGAGGAGGTGGAGTGAGGAGCAAGGAGGAGCATCGGCGGCCAGAGGGCCCTTCCTCACGTTTCTGGTTTCTGCCCGACAGGTGCAGGCCACGGTCGTGGGGCTCCTGGCTGCTGTGGTTGCCCTGCTGCTGGGAGCGGCGTCTAGGGGCGAGTTAGACTTTTCAAAGGTGGAGTTGCTGTGCGCCAGCAGCGTCATCACCGCCTTCCTCGCGGCCTTCGCTCTAGGTGAGCTGCGCCCCAACCCCGGCCCCCTCCTCCTCCTGGCAGGCCGCCGTGCTCCACTTCTCAGGGCTCCACTCTTGGCTCGCTGTGCTTTCAGTTCCGAGAAACAGAGCAGTTACAGTGGAGCCTTGGGCGGCCTTCCAGGGAATGGGGAAGAGCCTGCCAGGCCGTGACCACCTTGCGGCAGGTGGAGAGGGCAGTGAGCCCCCTCCCGGGTAGGGGGTGTGTGCGGGGGGCTGCTAACTTACCTTCCCTCTGCTTGTTTAAAGAACTGCCTGTGCTCCATAGACACATTCACCTGTCCATGCATTCACTTATTCAGACACTCAGCCCTTAGCCGTTTCTTGAGCATGGCTTGCGTGTGGGCCTCTGGCGGGCTCTGCCGTCTGCAGTCATGGTGGGGAGCAAGGCTCGGTTTTTAGCTTAAATTTCATCTCTTCGGAGAGGCGTTTTCTGACTACCCCGTCACAAGCACTGTTCTCCCTTCTCGCCTTCCCCAGTGCCACCACGCTCTACTGTACCATGCCGGTTCCTTCTAGAACACTTGGGAAAATCTGAAATTACCTTGTTTCTCTGTTCATTTTCTGTCTCCCCTTCCAGCTACAATGTCAGCTCCTCAGAGCGGAAGGCCCCGTCTCCTGTTTTTCCATCTGCTGCTCCTATCACACTGCCCGCCACACGGCAGGTGCTTCCTGCGTGTCTGCAGAAGGCAGGAGGCAGTGGCAGACATAACCCTGTCCTTGGAGCTCATGCATGTCAGGGGAGAACCAGTTGGCTGTGCAATTACGATAGAGTGTCACCCATTCATTATTACTCAGTATTTACTGAGTGTCTGCTGTGAGCCAGGCACTGCTGTGGTGCTGAGGATACACTCGTGAGCAAAATGCACAGGGACCCTGTTCTGTGACGTGTATATTCTAGTTCAGAGTGAGACATCAATATGGGAGCATGCAGATAATTCCAATTAACCGTCAGTGCCTCCTCCTTTCTGAGGCCTTCTCGGATCAGCTCTCTGGAGTAGCCCTGTTCACAGGCGTGTTTTGTTTTTACTCCTATTTATTTACTTCAAATGCTTGTTCACGTCCTTGTATACTGTCCCTCAACCCAACAAGCATTTAAGTGTGAATACAGAGCCCGATGGTTACTTAGAACAGGCCCAGGCATATAAGCAGCTCCCAAGTGTTTGCTGAGTGAATGAACTTTGTTCTCTCGTTCTTTTGTGCATTATATGTCTGTGTGTATGTGGCACGGAGTCTTTTCTGGAAACAACTCATTCCAGTGATTCAGAAGGCCAGCCCTGTTACTGTGGGGCCTTGTACAGAACGCTACAGCTCCCCATTTTACAGATGAGAAAACTGAGGTCCAGAGATGCAGTGAAGCTCAGCTGCATGGACATAATTGGGATCATCCAAAGATGTGTGAAAGGTCAGAAATGTTGCCGGTGTCTCACAGTGTGACCACGACATGACTGTGCCGTAAAGTCAGGAGGCAGTGGTGGTTGTTAATAAGTGCTCTCAAATGGATGGTGTCTCTATAAATAGTACCTGTGGGATTGTCACCAGACCACCAGCTTAGCCATGCAAATTCGTATTCACTTAGAACTGATATTTCAAAAGAGATAAAGTAGCTATGACCTGGTCACAAAATAGGGCACAAACTGTGGCTTGAAAGTTTGGGGTCAACCCAGCTTTAAGACAACATTAAGGTGATAATTCTAACTATTTTCAGAGCTACAGAATACTGGGTAAAGTGTTAAGACACCAATAGCCAAGATACAAAGTGTCTTCTTAAAGACCCACATGAGATACTGTTGGCTTAGGTCCTAAGGAGCTGATGGAAGCTAGAAGTCCACCTGTGACAGTCATCTCAGAACAGAGTCAGGACAGAAAGTAGGACCTGGCGAGATGGGGTGGCCACTAAAAGGTACCGCTCACGTCTCCAGCTGCAGAACAGGTCTGCAGTGCTGCGCCCTAAAACCCATCAGCCTCGCACTCAGAGGCCACATGCTGGCTCCATTCAGTGGTGGTCCTAGCGTCAAGCCAGAAAGTCAGAAAGCAGAGTCCAACACTCCCAGCCTTCTCAGGTGGCCTGGCTTTAGTCTAGGCTGTGCTGATAGAGGGGATTTCCTGAGCAGCAACCTGACCCCCCGTCTCGTCCTGTGCTGCTGAGTCTCCTTGGGGTCAGTTGATTCCCGAGCCTTGAGTCTCCTCTCCCTCCTCTCTCCTCTCTGCAGGACTGCTGATGGTCTGTGTCGTGATTGGTGCTCGAAAGCTTGGGGTGAACCCAGACAACATCGCCACGCCCATTGCAGCCAGCCTGGGAGACCTTATCACATTGTCCATTCTGGCTTTCATTAGCAGCTTCTTCTATAAACACAAAGGTAGGGGGGCCAAAGAGGAGGGTCCCACCGGCAAGGCTGAGTGGGGATGGTTGCACCCAGCCTGCCACATTCAAATCGGGCACCACAGGAGGGAACCTACGAGGTCTGTCGTGGAGTCAGAGTCCTCCTTTTATGGAGGCAAAGCCTGAAGTCACTGAACATGTCCAGATGTTCTCCAGCAAGCTCATCAACCGTGTTAGGCGGGGTGCACTGCTCAGTTCAAGACACGACCAGGGTATGCCGGGAGGCTGGGGGCGTCCTGAGCTGGTCTGGCCACTTTAGCACATTCGCACAGGTGACGGTGCCTCCTTGGGGAAGGCAGTTCACCCTGGGCACATGTAAACTGCGCAAGAAGTGACCCCCGAGGAGGAATGTTCCAGCAGCGGGCAGCAGCTGCTCTCCCTGGAGGTGCGAGGCAGGGGAAGCCAGGGCCTCTCAGAGGGCGGCCTGCTCAGCAGCCCAGGGAGGACACACATCTTGTGGTGACAGGCCCTCATCCCGCCAGGGGTCTCCCCAGGCCTGCCCTGGACACACAGAGTTTGCTCGTGCTCTGGGCACGTGGACGGAAGGCTCTCCCCGTCTGGGCTTCCACAGCTGAACACTCCCTTCCGAATGTCCCCTTTTTTACTTTCCACCCGGTACAGTCTCGCTAAGATGACTGTACACAACTGTTCGCATCTAGGAAGCGCCGATTCCGAGCACGGTGAGGACCCCGGATGCTTGGGGGCAAGTAGCATAAGCGAACGGAGTGGATGGTGATGCAGACAGTGGGGAGCCCAGGGGCACGTGGTGACGGCTGGTGGGGGGTGCCCCAGGTAAAGGAGCAGCGCAGCGGAGCGCCAGTTTATCACTGCCCCTGGGAACATGGGCCCAAGGAGCTGAGATACCAACCCGTGTTTACATGTTGGCAACTGAAGCAGGGCAATAAAACACTTCTGATTTAGAGGTGCAGACGGTGGGACCCTTTCTCTCTCGGCTCTGGGACTGGCTACCCTGGGAACTGCCTGCCACCAACAATATTGAATGATTTGTGAGATTCTCAAAGTTCATGTAAGTGGTAATGAAGAGTTAATACTAAGATGACCTAATTTTATTTTTAAACCAAACTGAATTTAAAATAAGATTTGTGTATAAGTCACAGGTATCCCCAGACCCTTCCTCTTCACCCCTGCTGTACCCCTACTGAAATAGTGTGTTTTAACACACGACTTATTAGATGTTAAATCATTGTTGGATTGTCCATCTCTCCAATTAGACTGTGAATTTTTCTTGGGTGCACTGGGCCTGGCACATATCAGATAAAGCTTCACTGACAAAGGTGTGAGCCATTGACTGTCACACTGGCCAGTGTTGTCGGGAAGACAAGCCTCGTGCAGGGGAAAGGAAGTATTCACTACGGGACAGGGAGAATATGAGGTGGGACCTCTGCCGAGGCTTCTGAAGAGTTCTAGAAAAATTGGACTATTGCAGAAATGCCCTACAAGTAGGTACCCATATAGGCTGCTGTCTCCCAAGTGTTTGATACTTGCTTAGAGCTCACTGGGTGGGAGGAGGCAGAGGAGGGTACTTACGGCAGGAAAATAGCAAAACCAGAGAAGTGAAAGGGAAGGTGGCAGGACCTGAGGACCAAGAGGTGCTTCTCCAGTTGTTTAACAGAATGGAGAAAGTTCTCTGGAAGGTATGATAGGACAATCCACCAGAAACTGATGAGGAGAGAAGTGTCTCCTCAGACCTCTAGAGCCTTTAGTGCCCAGCCCACCTCTTGCCTCAACAACCCAGGCCACAGCCCCCAGGCCACGCTGTGTACTCTGGCCCTGACCGGTGGCTGTAAGCATCCCCCTTTTTTCTTCTTTCTCTCCCCAGACAGTCGGTTTCTGACTCCCTTGGTCTGCATCGGCTTCATGGCCCTGACCCCGGTGTGGGTCCTCATTGCAAAGCAGAACCCACCCATCATGAAGATCCTAAAGTTCGGGTGGTTCCCAATCATCCTAGCAATGGTGATTAGCAGGTGAGCATGAGTGAGGGCCTCTGCCCCCTCTCTCCCTCCCCGTGCCATCCCCTGGCTTTGTGTTCAGGGGAGTGGCCTGAGAGCCAAGGAACCCCCGAGGAGGGTGAGGCTCACTGCCTGTGGCCATGGCTGGAGTGAACCGCAGCTGTGGGCTCCTTCACTAATTTCCAGGGCTGGTTGAGTCATACCTCTTGACTCTTTACCTCTGGTTTTCTTACCAAGAACCCTAGACTTGGTTCTTCTGAGAGGCCGTCCTGTTTGCATTTGCCAGAGCACCAGAGAGCAGGGAAGAGCTGAACCTGGAGACATCAGATGAGCGCACTGGGGCCATGGCTCCCTGCTCCGTCTTGGCGCTGTGGGATTCCGCGTCTCCGGTCCCCCTGGTGCCACAGCTCTCACTGCCCTGGACCCCTGCTTAAGCTGCAGGGAGTCCCTCTCCTGGCCTCAAAGCCATGGCTCTGCAAACACCATTTCCACAGCGTGGCTGCTGGTGGGACCTAGAGGGGCTGAGGGATTAGTCCTTCAGCTGAGCCCAGGTCTTCTACCCTCCAGCCTTGTTCTCAAGCGCCCTTTCCACTAGCAGACCCTGACAGGGGGCACCCCAGTTTTTTCTGATGTGCTTTCCTAACTTTGACTCTCAGAGAAGAGAGGTTATGGTGTAGGTACCTTTGCTCCTGGGTTCCTTATACAAATTGATCTTATTTCTTCAGGGCTCTCAGGGTGGGGCAGCCTTTGCTAAACTACAGGGGCCACTGGGAGCAAGGTCTTGCTACAGTGTCTTCCAAGAACAAGGAACAGGAGATGGCACTCCTGCAGGTTCGTTTTCTGCAAAGGAACAGCTCAGTTGCAGTTCAGGGGCTGTCACAAGACAGGGCCCAGCTAGCTAAGAGGCCTCGGAGAGTAGTGTCTTGTTTGTTATTAGTGGGCTGACATTATCTGAAGGGCCTTCTAGAAAGCTAAGACTAGACAAGAGGTGAAAATGCGTGTGGGAGGTGCAGAGGACACTGTGGAGACAAGCCTGGCTCCAACGGATATCTTGTATAGGGGTAAGGAGAGTGTCTGCTAAGCTGAAAAGACAGCCTGACAAGGCAGTTTGCAAAGCCACTTACAGGTGTAAACTCTAGTCATTTAACTGCCCTCTGCTCTCTCCCCAGTTTCGGAGGGCTCATCTTGAACAAAACCATTTCTAAAGAGCAGTACAAAGGCATGGCCATATTTACTCCCATCATATGTGGTAGGTATTGGCAATCCCCATCACCTGGGGGCCCTGGGCTAGGTTGACCCCTGTAGGCCCGAGTGGTGGGACCTGAGCAGCAGTGATGTCAGAGGCCTGGCCCCAGGCCCTCAGAGGCAGTCAGCAAGCTCAGCGGGCAGAAGCTACTGAGACTACAGATAGAAGGAGATGTCAGGGTGGAAGCCATGCCCATTGCTCCACCAGATCACACCCTGCTCCTCATAGGTACCACTGAGACCTGAGCTTTCCCACAGAGGTAACTAAATTCCATGCTTTGAAGGCACACAGAATTTAACCCAGGATTCTCTGGCACCTGAAGAATGAATGTGGCCTTCAGAACTAGAGTGTTGGCCTCTCATGGTTTTTCTTTTATTTTAACTTAGATTCACTGGTGACATTTAAAACTCAGACATTACACATAAAAATCTGGATTTCTGTCTTCTCAAAAAGCAAGGCTGTAACAATATGGGGTTTACACAGAGGTTAGGGCGGGAATCAGCTGCCACTGAGACAGGACCTGTGTTGTACAGTTTGCCTCAATCCCCTCCATTCCCTGTTGTCTTTTACCCAACCCTTCACTGATTCACCTTCTAGGCTTAGACCCTGTGGGCATTTATGTGAGGACCCCTCTTTTAACCAAAGCTTGGTATGTGTCTGGTTTCTGATAAAGAAATGGGACCAATGGTCAGGGGAGGAACCAAACATAACTTACTGAACAATTTTCTTGGTGCCTAAGCTCTGGCTTTCTGGGACTTAAGAAACAGCCTTCAGAGGTCCTTGGGCCAGTCTCCCCCCAACACACACATTTCCGTGGGAACTCAGGCCTGTGTTCCTTGAATGTCAATGGGCCACACAGTAGGTCTGCACCTCAACGGAGTCCCTTAGGGTCTATTCCCAGCAAAAGGGCTGGCCGTTGTGAGTTAGTACAGCAACAGCTAAGTGAGGCCCAGATGGCCATAAGCTTGGAAAGATATCCTTGGATGGCACCAACTCAGATACCTATAGGGGCCAAGCAAGCAATTTGAATGAGTTAAGCAGGTAAGACAATAGCAAGGCAGAAAGGAGTGATGAGGAACAGGGCACGTGTTCCTGGTGTGAAGGGAGTGGTGCCTGTTCAGCTCTGGCCACTTGCTGACTGGTAGGAACTAAGGTCTAGAGTTGCCTGAGATGACTTGTTAGGAGAAGCTGGGAATCTGGATTAAAGGCCTAATTTGTAAATACAGCCAATTAACTTGAGATATTTTATTTTTTTAATCATGTGTGGGCCAGGCAAGATAGATCTGTAGCCATCCTCTGCCCACAGACCATTTTTTTTGCATCTTCTGGAAGCCCGAGGCAGTTGGTCTTTGCCCCTGGAGATCACTGGGACACGTCTGATCCAGTGAGAGAATGTTCTCTGTGGAGCTGAGGAAAGAGACTGTATTGAGGACCTACTTTGCAACACTTCCTTCACTTTAAGAGCTGTCAGAGTGATACAGTTACTACCTTGATACCTCACTCATGAGGTCCAGGCCACCCTCGTTTGGTGCTCAACAAGATCTGTGGTCAAGTGGGAGGGAAGAAAAAGAGATCACGTGCTGAACTGGATGACTTCCTGGAGAAAGTGAACTTAACATAAGGGATAGAACTCAGAGACTGGCATAAACAAGGGGAAACCAGATTCTTTTTCTTCTCACAGGTGTTGGTGGCAATCTGGTAGCCATTCAGACCAGCCGGATCTCTACCTACCTGCACATGTGGAGCACACCTGGGGTCCTACCCATTTGGATGAAAAAATTCTGGCCTAACCCATGCTCCACTTTCTGCACCTCAGGTGGGTCTGATGCCTTTCAGAGGCCATGAGGCCATTTCTTTAAACAAGTAAAAATTAATGTCATTGGAACCTGGTATTTGTAGCAGTGATGTCTAAGGCCAGTGCCGACCTTAGTACAGATTATCTTCAAGACACAGCTCGTTCTCCCAGACACCTGACTCCCCCACCCTGCCCTTAGTTGATTGATTCAGTCAGTCAAATATTATTGAATGTCTACCCAGATACTAGGTGTCAGGTTACAGTGATGACAGAGAAAACTCTTTCTTGCCCTCCATGGTATACATGGTCTAGAAGAACAGATAAACACACCAAAAAATGAACAAATTACATATTGTGATAATTACATATTTACATAATTACATATTGTCATAATTACAAATTGTGATATATTGTAAAAGTCAAAAAGTACAGGGTACAATGAAAAAGAATTGCATGGGACACTCAGATGTGGGGTTAGAAAGTTCCTCTGTGAGGATGAGCATGGCTTAGTTGGGGAGGAGGCACGCTGGAGCAGGAGGAGCATTTGAGGCAGAGGGGACAGCCTGAGCAAAGGCCCAGAGGCAGGAAGGAGCTTGGCAAGTCTGAAGGACTGAAAGGCCAGTGAGATCTGTGCAGAAAGAGCAAAGGAGAGAATGAAGGAAACTGAGGCCTCAGATAGGAAGGAACTGATCACATAGGGCCTTGAAGCTTGAGAAAGGAGACAGGATTCTATTCTGAGAACCACTGGATCTTCTATTACATTTTCTGTTTTTAATTCTCACTCAGTGGTACTTTTTCCATTGATTTTGAGAGGAGTGGAAGGGAGGGAAGGACGGGTGGAGGGAGAGAGAGAGAGAAACATCAATGTGAGAGAGACACATCGACTGATTGCCTCCCTCATGAGCCCCAACCAGGGTTGGGGAGGGAACCTGCAACCCAGGCATGTGCCCTTGACTGGGAATCGAACTGGAGACACTTCAGTCTGTGGGCCAGCGCTCTAACCACGGAGCCACCAGCCAGGACTATCATTTCCTTCCTATTTCAAGAACTACCTTCAGCCATTCTATTGGGGTAGGTCTGCTGGCACATTCCTGGAGGATACTTTCACTGGATATGAATTTTGGGGTTTTCAAGTTCAACACTTGAAAAATGTGCCACTTCCTCCTGACCTTAATGTTTTCTGATGAGAAATTGGCGTAATTTGAATTAGATACATTTTTGCTGTATACATAAGGTGTCATTTCTGTCTTATTTCAAGACTTTCTTTTTAGATTTAGGATTATGACGTGCATTGGTGTTGATTTCTTTGGAGTTGTCCTACTTGGAGTTCACTCAGCTCCCTGGATACATAGATTTATCTTTTGCCAAATTTGGGAAATTTTAAGCCATTATTTCTTCGAATACTTTTTCAGCCCCCCTCCCTTTCTCCTTTCCTTCTGGTGTTATGATGATGCAAATGTTTAATTTTTTGTTGTAGTCCCACAAGTCCCTGAGCTCTTTTTAATTTTCACCTCAATATATGTTACTCTCTGTTATTTAGATTGGCTAATTTCTTTAGTTGTTTTTTTTAATCAAGTTCACTCATTCTTTCCTCTGTCCCCTTTACTCTGCTTTTGATTCATTCATTTAGTTTTTTGGGGTTTTTTGGCTATTGTATTTTTTCAGTTCTAAAATTTTCATATGGTTCTGTTTTGTTACCTTCTACTTCTTTCCTGAGATTTTCTGTTTTTATCATTTGTTTCAAGTGTTTTGTAATTGCTGGTTGAAACATTTAAAAATGGATTCATTAAAATCTCTTTCACATAATTCTACCATTTGTCATCTCAGTGTCTGCTGGTTGTCTTTTCTCATTAAGTTGAGATTTTTCGTGCTATAATGAGTGATCTTTAGATTGAGTCCCAGACATTTGGAGTATTGTGTTATAAAACTCTGGATCTTATTAAAGTCTTCAGGTTTAGCTAGCCTCCTCTGACACTGCACCACTAGGGGGAAGGGAATGCACTGCTTCCCTACTGCCAGGTGGGGGTAGAAGTCCAGATTCCCCTCTTTTTCCACTGACACCCTAGGGGAAAAGGAACACCTCGTTACAGTGGGCAGGGTAAGAGTCCATGTTCCTCAGATGCCACTCTTGCTGGGAGGGAGAGGGGTGCCTTGTTATTGCTCCCCACATGGCCTTCACTGATACAGTGTGTGCGTGGGGGGGGGGTTAGGGTCCTCATTACCACTAGACAGAGTACCACTTAATTTCCACACAGCCTTCTCTTATACCATATCAGTCAAAAAGGGGTGAATTCCACATTCCACCTGGGTGAGGGAGAAGTCCAGGCTCCTCACTTGGCCTTTGCTGATCAAGGTGGGGCTGCTATTTTTCCTGTGGTGTTTGGCTAGAATAGAGCGGTTATTATCTAAAGTTCTCTGTTTTGCTAGGCTGCCCCTTTTTTGAGCCTTTGGCTAAAGAAGCAAATTTTTGTTGAGTCTTTTTTGGTCAGTACCCTTTGGCATTTCAGGGTTACTGAATTCTCTAGCACCCAATCTGGGATATATGAGGCCAGAAAAAACCCCAACTCGGGGAACTCACCACCATGTTGGTCCCTAGCCAGCTTACCTTTTTCCTCCCCCTTTCAGAATCTTCTTATATTTGTTTTATATATAATGTACAGGGTTTTTTGTTGTATTTAGTGAGGGGAATAGTAATAAATATGTCTACCCCATCTTGTCTAGAAGTAGAAGTCCCATTATATTTTCTGACCTATCATTTGTATATAGAAAAAGCATTTACTTTCTATATTATTTATGTACCTGTCTTAGTTTAGGCTGCTCTAACAAAAACATAGCCTGGATGGCATATAAACAACAGAAATATGTTTTTCATAGTTCTGGCGGCTGGAAGTCCAAGATCAAAGCACTAGCAGATCTATGTCTGGTAAGGGCCTGCTTCCTGGTTCATAGACAGCTGTCACCTCACTGTGTCCTCATGTGGTGGGAGGGGTGAGGAGCTCACTGAGGTCTCTTTTATAAGGGCACAAATCCTAGTCATGAGGATTCCACCCTCATGACCTAATCACCTCACAAAGGCCCCACCTCCATATAGCATCACACTGTGGGTTAGGTTATAACATACATTTAGGGGGAAACAGTCTATAGCAGCACATAAAATATTTTACTGAATTCTTTATGTAGCTGTCTTGAGCTTTTATGTCACCTTCCAATAATAATTATTATGCCTCCTTCTTTAGAGCTTTTTTTAAAAAAGAATCTAACCTTGTCTAATTTTTCATCATGAGTAGATTTTGTTGCTTTTGCATGTTTCCATTCTCTTTCTACATATTATTTTATAGTATACTTTTCAGTTTCTAAGCTACATATGATTTTTCTTCCTTTTCCATGTTAAGTTAATAAATTACGTTATATTAACTCATAAGCAAATGGAGACTGACATTTCATTGAAACTCTTTGTTTTCGAGTAGTCCATCATATTCACGTATTACAGTTTTAAAGAGATAGGCAGGGTAAGTCACATTTCTTGCAGAGTTTCAAACTCATAGAGTACCGGGTCCTGAAGAGAGTGGGGATCACTCAGACCTCAGCAATGAGTGCCCCATCCTCCGGATCACTAACAATCACCTCACTAACAATCACCAGTGCCTCATGCTGAGCCTTTGTTTTTTGACACCCCCCAGCTCTCTCCACCTTAAGCCCCTTGCACATTCCCTTTCCTCTAGCCAGGGTCTTTCCCCCAGACTCAGATCTCAGCCTGAATGTCATCTCCTTGAGAGAGCTTCCAGTCTCCAGCAGCTCATTCCCACGAACAGACACGTCATTCTCTGCCACATTACCCTGACTTTCTTTCCAATACACGTCACAGTTTGAAATGCCCTTTCCTGTTCATTTCTGCTATTCTATTCCAGTTTTTCTCTCTTCTCTAAAATGTCAGTTCCAGGAGGGAAGGGACTATAGTCCCCACTAGTCCACCGGGGCTGTGCGAACTACCCTTTGGCACCTTCAGGAAGTGGCTGAACGAATGTGGATGCCTCACTAGAGACTCACGTGCCAAGGTGGCCTCTGCTGCCAGGCAGGTCACACAACTTCCTTGGTTCTGTTTCTTCCAGAAATTAATTCCATGTCAGCCCGAGTTCTGCTCTTTCTGGTGATTCCGGGCCATCTGATTTTCTTCTATGTTATCTACCTGGTGGAAGGCCATTCGGTCCCAAACAGCAAGACCTTTGTGGTATTCTATCTGCTGGCAGGCCTGATCCAGGTAAGGGCGACTGTAGCAGCAGCAAAGCAGCGTTCAGTGCTGAGGCAGCCAGCAAGCTTCGCTCCCTGTCCTGGGAGAGATGCCGAGGAGGCGGAGTTGGGGGTTCCTGGACATGCAAGGCACAATCCCCATCTTCCAGGAGTCGAGTTAACTCATTCAAGCCCAAGGGTGTGATCCAGACCCAGAGGCCACTCCCCCCTGGATACTCCATACTGCACCCTCCCCGTAGCATACTCCACATGGCGCACTGCATAGACCCGGCTCCACACAGCACACTCATTACTCCACCCTTCCCAAGGCACAGCCCACGCAGCGTACAGCTCACTGCGCACTCTTCACCAGGGCGTCAGAGCGGCCGTCCTGAGAATGCAGCGTGTTGCCGTGGAGCAAGCTGACGAACGGGTCCAGATGATGAACTGGGCTGTGTGCATCACTTATTACAGAAAGGGGGTGCGCAGGGACCAGCCCCCCGTGGGGTGTTGCTAAAAGGCATGCGTGGACTTTAGTAAGAGCTAAATGGTGATAAGGACATGAAAGACATTAAGCTGGTGCCTGCCTCAGAGTAGGACACAGCGGACTGCCTGCCAAGACTGTCGCTGGCTGATGTCCTGGTGGGCCTGCGGCCTCTGCAGGGATTACTGTGGGAACTGTGGGCAATTCTAAGGAACTAGACTTTTCAAATATGCTTGAGTTATGGTATTTGCAATCTCAGCATGTCCCGGACCCTAAGGGATAGGCTGGGCAGTCTGAGAAACTGTCCTGAGCAACAGCAGGAAAGGAGCTGGGGTCAGCCTGCAACAAGGGACTGGGAAGCCCTGAGACCTGACCAGCGCTGTGTGGACTACCCCGTGGCACCTTCTGGAAAGGCCAACCACCCAAAGCTGCCCATGAGAGTGCCTCCAGAAAACCCAAACTGAAGTCCCAGCAAGATTCGTGTCTAAGGTTCCTAGGATGTTGAGTGGAGCTGTGTGTCAGGGAAGGTCAAGGCTAGTGAGCAGCACTTCAGGATGCCAGGAGCAGGGCCCAACCTTAGGGAGGGATGCTAGGCAAGGGTGGAAGAGGCGGACGCCTCGGCCCCTGCACGAACTCATAGCTTGGTGTCAGACCCCAGGAGAAGCTTGTGGAAGAGGACTACCTGGGGTGGACTTGTCCACGTTGGTGTCTGCCCTTGAAGTCTGTTAGTGTTTCTTGATGACACTTGGTTTTCTGACTTGTCTCTTGTGTTTGCTTGCTCTTATGACAGGTGACAATCCTGCTGTACCTGGCAGAAGTGATGGCTCGGCTGACGTGGCACCAGGCCCTGGATCCTGACAACCACTGTATCCCCTACCTCACGGGGCTGGGAGACCTGCTGGGGACTGGCCTCCTAGCACTGTGCTTCCTTATCAGCTGGCTACTGAGGAGCGAAGCAGAGCTGGATGGCCTTTCAGAACTAGCATCTGGACCTCCCTTATGAGACCAGGCAGCTCCAGTTAGTCAATAGAATGTTCCCTCACACCAATGGGGTGCAGAATGCAGGTCCTCCCTGGCTGGGTCCTTAGGTCTTCCCGCCTCTACAGTGGCCCTTTGTCAGTCTGCTAAGGAGACTCACGCACACCTTAACCCTGGTGTTGGAACCTGAGTCCCTGATGGAGCCTAAAATCAGAAGCACTGTGTGTGATTGTGTGATTGTGACTGTATGTGCCCACGTGTTGGATGAGTGCATGTATGTGTGGAGAGCAGGGTGCTCAGGCCTGAAGATTCTGAAGGAGGTGTCATGTCAGTTTTGGCCCTGTTTCAATCTGATGCAGCCCAGATTGGGGTAGAGCAGGAAGGAGATCCGTTATGTGCCCAAGCCTCAGGACTCCCTGAGCCCTGGCCTAACTGCTGTCTTCACTAGGTCCAGCTCTATGGCCACTTTGCTCATGTGCTCTGCATATGTGTGCAGCCCTTCCTAGGTTGGGGCCTTACACACCCAGCATTTATTCTTGCCACTGCTCTTTTTCTCTCTCTCTCTCTCTCTCTCTCTCTTTATAGCAAAAATCTCTGTTTAGATTTTAATGATCAGAGAAGTGTAAAATAAAGCACAGAATGTAGTACATTTGGCATTTTGTGTTTGTAAAGATATTAATGCAACCATGAGACTTGGGGTCTATAATTAACAAAAACCTCTGGCATTTCTCTAGTGCAATGTTTGTCATACTGTAGTCTCCAGCCTAGAAGCATCAAACATCACCAGAGAAGTTGTTAGAAATTCAAATTATTATTATTTTTAAAATATATCTTTATTGATTTCAGAGAGAGGAAAGGAGAGGGAGAGAGAGAGATAGAAACATCAATGATGAGAGAGTCATTGATCAAGCCCACAACCGGGGCATGTGCCCTGACCGAGAATCGAACCCCGATCACCTGGATCCTAGTTTGATGCTGAACGGCTAAGCCATGCCCTGCCGGGCAGAAATTCAAATTATTAACTGCCCTCCCCCTGGGCCTGACAAATCAGAATGTCGTGGGGCAGAGCCCAGCAGTGTGGGGTTTAACCAGTTCTCCAGGTGGTTTTGAATGGACTCTTTCAAGAACCGCAGCTCCAGAATTCCATCTTTTTAAAATATATGTATACATACTCACTAATTGTTTCTTATTAGCTCATCAGAACTTTAGCCATGGTTTGGACTGAGGATTATTATCTTCTGTTGACCTTAAACAAAGAGACAGCCAGGTATTTCTCCAGCAACATGGGTTTATTTGGGAACAACAAAGAGTTGCAATTTGGGACGTGCAATCTAATGGTGACCATGTGTGAGTCCTAGGAAACAAAGGAGAGGAACACTTTTATGGGTATGGGAGAGCCGTTATAGGTGAAGAGTCTATAGGTACTGATATGGAAAGATATTGATGATTAGCTATTAAATGAAAATAGAAAATTGTAGGACTTCCAGTGGTATACAAATAAAAGTACATATATGCATTCATCTTTTTTAGAAACCTATATGGAAAGGCCAAGGAATTAGAATAGCTAAAGCAATTTGGGAAAAAACAATAAATTCTCTATAAGCACACTCAGAAAGGAGTGTGTTTAAAAACTAAGATGGGGTCACACCTCCTGCTTCTCTGCCCCCTCCTACTATAGTTTCCAAGCAAGCAGCTGGCATCCCAGCCCCTCACCCTCTCTGCTCCACCCAGACCCAGAGCCAATTCAGACTGAGTTGGGACCCGGACTCTACAGGCTTGGGCTTCCTATGTCCTCAGCCTCTACCCTCACACCAGGAACCCCTGGCATTCACTTGGTTGCCTCAGTTTCCCAGCCGGGGGCTGCTGGCCCCACCCTACACCAGAGTGGTCCTCTCCACGAGCCTGGGGTTGCTTTCTGGAGGTAAGGACATTCCCTTCCCACATCAGGGACGAGCTAAGGGGACAACTGAACCTTTGCTATTAGACCCATCATACAAACTTTGTGTGCTTTCAGCTTCTGAGGACACAAGACACAGAGGCCTCAGGCCATGGTGGTACGCTCATGGCCTGAGAGAAACATCCATTGGTTGCCTCCCATCTGCTCTCTGACGGGCGAGCGATCGGACCTGAGCCTCTTTGGTAAATGGGACAACACTCCAATCAACGGAGCGCCTGGCTGGGGCTGGCAGGTTGCTTCTTAAACTCACTCACTAGAGGGCACAGTTAAAACTACAGGCACCCTTGTTGGAAAGAAACTGCGCCTGTATTTTGTTCTTTCCCCCCTCTTATTTTTACGTGCTGGTGTGCATTCAAATGAAAAGAAATCCAAAATGATTACAAATGAATACATCAGGGTTTCTGGTTTCTTTGAAATGACTCTTCTATCTCCAATAGCTTTAGTGTTTTTAACTGTTTGTTTATGAACTGACTGGAACTCTTGCTACTTGTTTGACTGTTTCTGGGGTGTTTTGTTTTTGACTATTTCTGTTCTTATGTGGGTTAAAATCAAGGCCCAGAAACTGAGGCACAGTTTTATATTTGTCAACAGGTGGATTTATATTTTTTGTCCTAAAATACCCTGTCTCTTAAACAACTCTTTTGTATATTGTGTTCATTGCTTATAATTTTTCCTTATTAATTGAAGTAATTCATAATCATGCCTTGAGCACCTACTGTTTGCAGCAAACTGAAATTGATGCAGTGGAATTCTCATAAAAGGGAGGCAGCATGGTACACGATAAAAGTTCGATTTTGGGAGCAACAGGGCTTAGATCAATTTCAAGCTCTGCCACTTAGCAATGTGTGGTTTTGGAAAAGTTATTCAACATTTTTGAAAAGGGGCATGATATCTATTTCTCCAAGTTGCTGCAAAGACTAATTAATACCTTATGGGAAGGCCCAGCACAGAGCCTTCTTACTGCAGACACAGCAAAAAATTATCTTTGTACCATCCTAATAAAGATACTAATTATACACAGTGACTGATTATACACAGAATATAATGTAAAGTCCATAGTTAAGTACCACATTTACTGGAAAAAAACAGACAAAGGGGATATATGATTAATTTTGAACGTGTAGAAAACTTTCATAGAGAAAAAAATAACATGTTAGACAACCTATAAAAACACAAATAAATAAATTACATGAGTTTTCCATTTCTTCCTTGAATTCCTGTGAACCAATACAATATGGGTGGTCAAAGAGTAATGGTATAGGACTCAGAAGGTCCTTCTTCTACTTGCTAATGGCATACCTGGTGTGAGTTACTTATAAAGAAGCAAATTAAATTACTCATTGATTCAAAACTTTATAAAATACCTATTATGTGCTCCCCATTGTTTTACATAAGATATTTTAGGATATGAAAATAAACAACAGGGAACCCTGTTTCTCAGAAATGTATATCTAGTTGAGCAGATAAGACATTTAAATGAATGAAACACAGAGAAAGATACAAAGTGATAAGGACCGTAAGAGAAGTTGCTGATGAAAGTATAGTGATTTCATTACAATTAACTATTTTCATTAAACATCATCTGTGTAAAATTTATAAGTAAGGCTAGTAGAAACTCTATAATTCCATCTGATTTTTCGCTATCTGAAAGCAGTGTTTCCTTAATACTTTTCAATATTAATATGTGTTTAGCTCACTAGATGGCATCTTTTCTCTTTCAGAATCAGAGATTTGAAAGTCAATTTTTATTTGTAAAAAAAAAAAAAAAAATTTATCTTTTAAAATAATGGCAGTGAAACAAATTTGTTTTTATAAAGTTTCCTTTTTATTTTAACTAAAGCACCAGAACTTGTGCATCTAAATATATTGTCCTTGTAGGAAACCAGCTTGAGAAAATATACTCTGTAGACCTTAGAAGCTGCAGTTATTTCAAAGATGTTTGAAATTTTTAAAAATTTCCTTCAGAGGCTATTTGAGAATCATACAAAAATATGTTTCATTATATATAGGGTGTCCCCAAAACTATACACACTATGTCTGTGGATTCTATTACATTTGAAAATGAAATGCATTTTAATGAACACTGCCTTTATAATTATTCAAAGTGTGTGTGCATTTGGGGGAGACACCCTGTATTTATAACGCATATTTTTTTGCTGTTATCTAAGTTTTACATCAAGTTTTTCAAATAAAGCTTTTCAAACTTTAACTGGTATTTTATGTTGCAAATTATAGATTTTCAATGACACAATCACACAGGTTTCCTCAATGAATCATTTTTATTTAAGGGGAAACAGAAAAGAAAAAGAACATCAAATTAGAGGAGGTGGGACGACAACATAAACTATTGGAAAAAGCAAGGGATTTAGGAACAAAAGAATCCCTGGACAAATCACCATGTGACTGGGCAATTTTTTAGCTGACATGTGCTTCACTTGCCTCATCTACAAAATGGTGATGCTAATTCTAGCCTATAGCAGTGAATTCTTTTTAAAAAAAATCCTCATTCAAGGATATTACTGATTTTAGGTGG